ATATATATATATATATATATATATATATATATATATATATATATATATATATATATATATATATATGTGTGTGTGTGTGTGTGTGCGCGCGCGCGCGTGTGTGTGAACTTGAGGAGGGACATTAACAAATATCTTGACAGAATCAGATTTGAGACACTACTCAACACCAAAATTTCTTTTCCTTTGCTTGCGTTTAGATCAAATTTATCACCTAACCAAATTCATTTACCAGTTCATTGACATGATTCAAGTCTTGAGAGGTTCTTGTGGATCCGCCAAGAACAAACCTGACATAGCCACGTTTTCCTGTTCCGATAGGAACATCATTGCCATGTTAGTAAAGCAAGTTATAGGATGAGTACTGTCCTTGGGAGTCGTCAACTATTTCTCTTTTGGCTTGACAAACTGTTTCGGGTTAGGGTAAGAGTCCAAATAGCACGTACCATAACCTTTCAAGAAAACTCGATCTACGAGAGATCCACACGGAATGAGTAAGATTGTGTGAGAAATATATAACACAATACCCTCCATCTGCATCAAGAAAGCCTCTTTTAGTACTGCATGAAATCTTCCAATATCTATCACCATGATTAGCGTACTACTTGTTATAGCAATTTTCTCAAAATAATAACGTGAGAAATGCTCACATATTGTGAGAATGCGATTGAGCATTAACTCACATAAGGTGTACCTGAGAGAGGAGGAAGATGAGAAGGCATTGGGCGTGTGCAACCAAAAGAGAGACAGTACATGACTGATGAAGTCAGTACTTGTCTCATTTGACAAGGCTATGATGACATGCATGGCTATGATGTCAGCTGCCACGTATTCTCGTTAGGCCTGCACGAAACCCAATGCTTCGGATTATGTTAATGAAATGGTAAGTAATGATCTTTGGTTGGTGATTAATATTATTATTTTGTTCATATTCTCTTTTCTGAGATCCAAGTCAAGAATTTTCTCAGATCCAAGAAAACTCAGTGAAGAAGATAATGTGCATTTTTTTGTGTGATATTGTTATCTGACTACTCATTAGATACTATTCATCATCATCAAGCTCAAGTCTGCCATAAAATGTTCATTTTTATTGCTATATTATGACAAAACAACTAGAACGATAGTTACCATTTGATCTCCATTCTAATATAGAAGAGAGATCTGAATCATGTGTTTTGCCTCTCATTTAACTACATGCATAAACTTTTGAGTTCTGTTGACCAAAGTAAACTAGGCCTATAATGATCTGATGAATATACTGTTATTAATTTCTTGATAATTCCCTCATTTAAATGTAAAACTATAAAATTATATATACTATGTTTGAAAGCGTATATAAATAATATCATTATTGAGGGATAGATATCTATATATGAACGTGCAAAAGAAATTGTTAAAAGTTTATACCCATAGAAAATTGTAGTTTCAAAGAGATCTTATAAATAACCAATATATTAAGGTTGTTATGCCTCAAAGACAGGCATTTATTGACTTATGTGTGTCTCTTAATGTGAAGATACTGTTTCTATAAACTAGGAATGAGAAAAATGTAGCTTCTACACAATGCATTTTGATTACACCACAAAGAAGTGGATGGCAAGTGTCAGTCAGCCATTGATGAAGAAGCAATATATGATACGGAATTTAAGAGCCCACAAGATAATGCCTACATATGTTTGACCATAGGCTCACAAACCCTAACATCTATATAGATATATATGAAGCTACATCAGTAGGTAAAATGATATGGTCCTCACACTTTAATTAGCGCTGCAGGCATCAATCATGGAGCTTGTCTCATCTGGTTCAGATTCCATGACAAGCCGCATGCCTCGACATCAACGCACTTTAAAGCGTCAAGGAATCCTCCATTTAATTATTACGACCCATGTGTGCATGTTTCATCGTGCAAGAAACCCCTCTCTCTCAAGAAGAACCAAACCTATTGCGATCTTCCAACTTAAACACCTCCATTCCCTTGCATTAATTAATCTACATGTCTTCTTCATGGAGGCAGCAAATTAGCATAGTTTTCTTGACTAGGTTTTCTTGATGGGAGCATTAGGGTTTATACTTCTGAAAGAAAAACTCTTTAGGGTTTTACATGTGGCATATGCATACAGATCTTTTATGGTCTATCCTAGAAGATATGGTAAGATCAAAGGATGACAAGATAGAATTATTTCATGTGATTTGGGAAGTAGTGGTCTAACTTTGCGAAGGAACTAGAGATAGAATGTTTTGGTACTATTTTCTTCCTATGGATTCAAGAACATAGCGAATGCCATAGCTCTCTCTCTCTCTCTCTTAGGAGCTGGGATTGAGTGCATAGAAAATATAATAAGTCAAGCCAGTCAGTACATTTTATTATATTTATTAGTGTAGGACATTAATCTAAAGATCCAGACATCCATTACATGTTGTGGAGCTATCCATGACACAAGTACTTTAAAGCATTTGCTCTTTACACCGAGCAAATTTGACATATCCTATGGTGCAGTAGCAGATAACAGTTAAGGGCAACAGGGCTTCATGGGTGCTTAGGAAGATCACCAAACATCCTCCGGTATTCATCGATCGATATCTGGTGGTGTGAATCTGCTGACATACCCAGAGTGTGTGCAAAAGTATCACCATCATACTTGTTGTTCTTGACATTGCTATTTCTATTATTATCATTGGCATTCTTTGTAACTCCAAAGGGAATGCCAAATGATGGATCTACAGTAGCTTTTCCCTTCTTCTCTCCCATACTTTTAACGTTCTTCTTGATCTTCTCATCGCTTCTTCCACCAATAGTGGAGCCAAAGACAACTTTATTATGATCAAGCATGTAGTCCTTTCCCTTAACTCCTTGAAGAGAGAAATCCAAGGGATTCTCCTCAAGCCTTCTACAATCAACACTTATTTTGGAGATGATCATGACCAAACCAAATGTGAGAACAAGTGCAAATGGGATCTTCATTGTTGATAAGCTGCAACAAAGCAAAAAATTGACCATTTCAATACTAAGATCCTAATATATAACAGTCAAATTTTGAGCTTTGATACATTCATCAGCTAAATGTAATAATATAGCTATGTAAATTGCTAAAACTAGTATGAGCCTTAGTGGTTACCTTGAATTCGTTCCCTCCGAGACAAGTTTGAGATACTGGATATGAGACACGATATTTATAAGGAAAATTTTAAGCTTAAACAAGTTAATAAAAATTAACAAGATAAACATTAGGAATCTTATGGTGCCTTTCGATCATGCCCACATATCCTATGAAACATAGGTTGCATAAGATAATTATTATGCTAATTATATATGTCACTAGTGAGATAGTGGAGAATAATAATCTTGTCATCCACGGACAAAATGATTGCAGTTTAGACTACATTAGTTTAACTATGTCTAACTCTTTATGCTTGTTAAAAAGTTGAGATATATGTTTCAGTCAAATCTCTTTTGGACAAAGATTATTGCCTAATTCTCTAATGATAAAATAATATATACTTCTAGAACTCTACTATCAGTATTATTAGAAAAGAACAAAGACAATTAGCATGAACTTAGTCAATCTAAAATGATAATAATCAAAAGCTCAATTGTTCTATATATCAAGAAAAGAAAAATCATTTTGAGTTCCTAACTCATAAAATGAACATAGTTGTTCAATTATTACATAGTTGTTGTTGTTCATTGCTTTGAACTAATGAAGCATCAAAGTAGTAACCATAACCAAGCATAAGTGTAGATATCATTATGCTGATTAGGTTGGCTAAAGTGGTGGCTGTCCAAAGATAAGGTCACATTGCTTGTGCAAGAGTCTACAATGAACCCCTTTAAAGACTTCAAGTCATGATTAACTTATAATGGTTTCGTAGCATACATTATGGACCATGCTTTGACTTGTTTTTGATGAATTAAATGATTTCTAAATCTAATTAATGGACAATCCCAATATAGTTTTCGGTATTTGGCATAGCAAAACATCTAAACCCTAACCCCTAGAAGAATTATGGAGGAACCATTTGCAAGCAAACTACCTTGTTTCTTAGGCCTTGATTAAGTTCACTATTTTATGTACTTGTTATGTGTTTTGCAAATGTTCTATGTTCTCATGCTCAACCTTTATTTGTATATCATGTTTATGATTTATTTTTATGCTTATACATAACAATCATGGTTCATAATAGCCATCAAACATCCGTCATCATGAGTCCATCCCTTAGGTTATTTTGGTAAATAAGGACAAGGAGAGAGAGCGAGAGAGAGAGAGAGAGAGAGAGAGAGAGAGAGAGAGATATGTCCCAACATTGTTAGCATAAATGCAGGGTTTGCCCCACACAAAAAACTCTAGAATTTACATTTAACATATGCACAACAATAAATAATGCCTATAACATCATGTATACTGAATTAAATAGCTGCTACCTACCTGGGTATCATAGATTAGAAGACCGACAGGTGCTCTTCCTCGTAAAAAATTGCAAGTGATTTGGAAAGGAGAGATCTGACTTTGTAAAGGACCAACAACGAGAAATTTTAGTGAATACCTCATAGCTATCTTTACTCTTAGGAATTGGTGCTATGTGGACAGTACATATAGCAAGCCAAGCCAGCCATGGACATTTTATTTTATGTAGTAGTAGTTCAGTACATTGACAGAAAAGCCCCAGCCATCCATGACATAATGATCTAAGCTATACATGGCAGCAAGTACTTGAAAGCATTTGCCCCATATACTGAGCAAATCTTACACATCCTATATACTACCGTAGCAGATAGCAATTTATGGCAGCAGCATAGTCTTAAGGGCATGTAGCAGAACCCCATAAGCAGTGGTGTGGTAAATTGTCCGCGGGTCGAGTGCGTGACATGGTACTAACATCAAACATCTTGTCGTTCTCGGCATCCTTCGTGGCACTAAAGCGATAGCCAGGTGATGCATCTTTAACAGCTTTTACCTTCATCTCTCCAGGAGTACTGTTGATGTCCTTCTTGGCCTCCTCGTTGTTGCTTCCACCAGCACTACTGGAGCTAAACACAGCTTTGTTATCAGCAAGCACGTATTCCTTTCCCTGAACTCCTCGAGGAGACTGATCCAAGGGATTCTCCTCAAGCCTTCTGCCTTCCACACCAGTTTTGGAGAGGATGATGGCCAAACCAAATGTAAAAACAAGCACAAATAACATCTTCATTGTTGATAAGCTACAACAAAGCAAAAAATTCACTATTTCAATACTAAGATATCCTATATGTAACAAATAATTTTGAGCTTTGATATATTCAACAGATACATGTACTAATATTGTTATGTAAATAGCTAAAACCAGTATGAGTCTTGAAACTTACCTTGAATTCAGTTCCTCCAAGTTTGAGATACTTGATAGGAGACATGATATTTACAAGGGAACCTTCAAGGATGGGAAAAATAGAGAAAGTAACAAGATAAACATTGGGAATCTTGTTGTGCGTATTGGTCATGTGCGCATATTATACGGCATAGCATGCCTAAGGTATTTATTGTGCAAATTACGTCACGCGCACCAATGAGATAGTGGAGAATAATAATCATGTCGTCAATGGATGAAATCGATTGCAATTGACACTCCATTGATTGTCATATGTCTAACTTTGTATGCTAGTCAAAAGGTTCAAATACGCACTTCACTCAACCCTAGAAATATCTATTTCTACACTTATACTATCAACATTGTTTGTCAATTTTCTGATTACTCCACCATATGTATACTTGACTTGTAATGCAAATAGAATAACTTCTTTGTAAACAAGAGCAAAGACAATTAGTATGAACTTAGTCAAGTTAAACCAACCAAAAGAATCCTGTTAAATTCCTAACTACTGAAATGGCTATAATTTTTCAGTTATTTTACATATCATAAGAAGTATCATGTTCAAGTCTTGACTATTAGTGTGAATATAATTGCACAATTACTATACTTTGAATGAAGCATCATAGTCATAAGCAGAAGCAATAGCCAAACCTATATAAACCTACATCTGCCCAAAAACACAGATATAATATTAGCACATCCATTTTCTATTTAACAAGTTGTATAAGTTATTAAAATACCATCACAATTTGTTTAACATTGTTGTTTTGAGGACTGATTCTTAACTTACACTAATCCTAGTTCACATGCTTAATTAAATTTCATTTGTTTACCTTTGCATGATTATTCTTCTGCTCTTAATCATAACTCTTATGGCTTTCATCAGATCAATAACTATTCCGTGCATGCATATATTCATCAATTTTATATTGAAACAAGAACCCAATACTCGATGGCATTCTCACAATTTGTGAGCAATATACGAGCATTTCTCACGTTATTATTTTGAGAGAATTGCTAGATCAAATAATATGCTAATCATGGTGATAGATATTTGAAGGTTTGATCGAGACTCCAGTCCAGAAAGAGACTGTCTTGAGGCAGATGGAGGGTAATAGAACATTGTGTTACATATTTCTCACACAATCTCTGGCATTCTGTGTGGATCTCTCAAGGAATAAGTTATCTTGAAAGGTTTTTTGGTGCGTGCTATTTGGACTCTTACCCTAACCCTAAACAGTTTGTCAAGCCAAATGAGAAATAGTTGATGACCCGCAAGGACAGTACTCGTCTAACTTGCTTTACTAACAGGGCAATGATGTTCCAATCGGAACAAGAAAACATGGCCATGATTTCGGCTGTCAGGTTTGTTCTTCTCGGACCCTCAAGAATCTCTCAAGACTTGAATCATGTCAATGAACTGGTAAATGAATTTGGTTAAGGTGATAAATTTGATCTAAACGCAAGGAAAGGAAAAGAAATTTTTGTGTTAGAGTAGTGTCTGAAATCTGATTCTGTCAAAATATTTGTTAATGTCCCTCCTCGAGTTCATACACATATATATAAATACTATTGAAACTGGTATACGAAGCTACATATGTATGTAAGAAGAGATGATCTCAAAACTTTCACTCTTCAGACATCAATCATAGAACTTGTCTGATCTGATTCAGATTCCAAGACGAGCCGCATGCCTCGACACCAATGCACTTTAAAGCGTCAAGGAATCTCCATTCAATAATTGCTACCCATGTGTACGAGTTCATGGAAGAACCAAAAACTATTTCCATCTTGCAAGCCAAACACCTCCATTATATGCTTTCATAAAGTCATCTGGCAAGGTTCTTCATGAAGACATCGAAGCCTAGTTTTCATCACGAACAAAGTTCATCTTGTCTTCCAGCAAGAACTCTACTTTGGTGTGCTTGTTAGAACTTTAGGGTTTACTCCACCCCGCAAGAAAAACTTTAGGGTTTACATGTAACAGATGCATAGCTGGTAATATTGCGTAACAAAGCTAATAATTAATGTCTTCGATCAAGAACTCAACTTTGATGTGCTTGTTAAATCTATGGGGTTTACAAACAACAGATGCATCATTAGAAATATTGCCTCTAACATCATGTACACTAAATTAACTAGGTAGCTACCTACATATCTATCGTAGAAGATAGAATGTTGAGACATACATGAGTACAAGTCCAATATTTTGCAGGTGATCTTGATGTAAAAAATTGCAAGTGATTTGGAAAGGTGTGGTTTAAGTTTGTGAAGAACCGAGAGCCACAATATCTAGTCAAATCTTCCCTCTATAAATCATTAAAAATAATAGTGAAAGCCATAGCTTTCTGTCTCTCTTAGGAGTTTGTATTGTGTGGATATAATGTAGCAAGCCAAGCTAGCCATGGACATTTTATTTTACTTAGTAGTTTAGTACATTGGCCAAGAAGCCTCAGTCATCCATGACACAACATACTGAGCAAATTTGCTCTATATACTGAGCAAATTTACCACACACATAGACTACTAGTAAGAGTCAACATTGCCGGGCTGCAGGGTTTTAAGGGTGCTTACGAATATTACGATACATCCTTCTGTAGTCATCGATCGATATCTCATGGTGTGTGTCCATGGACATGCCTTGGGTTTGTGCAATAGGATCACCATCACACTTGTTGTTGTTGTCCTTGCCATGGTTTTTGCTTTTGGCTTTATTGGTGGCAAGTGATGGATTTCCGATATCTTTTCCTTTCATCTCTCCAAGATTGTTGATGTCCATCTTAGTTTCTTCATTGCTCTTTCCATCAACACTAGAACTGAAGACAGATTTATCATCATGAACCATGTTTTCCTTTCCCTTATCTCTGTGAAGAGAGAAACTCGAGGGATTCTCGATGTATTCACCTTCCACACTAGTGTTGGAGAAGATCATGATCAAACCAAATATTAAAATAAGCACAAATGAGATCTTCATTGTTGATAAGCTGCATCAAAACGAAAATGATGATCTCAATAGTTAGATACTATACCAATTAATTTTGAGCTTTGATGTTTTCATTAACTTGATCGTGTGCTAACATGGTTAAATATATGACTAAAGTAATAGGAATCTTGGAAGTTACCTTGAATTGACTTCCTCTGGGACAAGTTTGGGATGCTCTTGTATGAGGGCATGGTATTTATAGGCAGATATTCAAGCTTAGATGAACTGATGTAAATTGACAAGATAAGCATTGGGAATCCTGTGGTGCTTTTCGATCATGCCCGTATTTTCTATGAACATAGCATGGATAAGATAATTATTGCGCTAATTACATCATGCACACCGATGAGATAGTGGAGAACAATAATCATGTCGCCAATGGAACAAAATTAATAGCAATTTAGGCTACATTAGTTTTACATAGGTCTAATAGGTTATGCTCCTCAAGGTGTAAAAATATACATACATCACTCAGACCTACATTAGACAAATTAAAGATGTCTTTACCCAATTCTCCAAAGATGCACAATATCTAACCAGACAACTATACTATCAGTATTTATTTGCCTATGTGCTCCATTTGTATCGATATGAGATGGAAAAAAGACCAAATCATTTATGTATTTGACTTCAAATGTAAATGAAAAGCAATTAGTATGAACTTAGTCTAGACTTATAGTTATTGAAATTTATGATACCACCTTAATTTATGTTTGTGTTTGCAAAAATATGCATGACACTCAGATAAATCAACTCCTCTGTGTGAGGCATAAGCATATGAAGAGTACTATTATACCAAAACCTCAAAAGAGAATCTTAGTTGGCATAGCAAATGATCACAATGCTGTTTACTAGAATGCAAGGAATGCTTGTATCTTTCGTTGTAGTTCACACTTCCATGAGCAATTGTGTATGATTTTTCTGACGGACTTGGTGAGAATAGAAACTATTCCATGCAGGAATACTAGCCATCAAAACATGCTTATTGTTACTCCATTAACTGTTCATGTTTGGACCGAGAGAAATAGAGTCCTACGATGAATCTTGCACTCTATCTATGGTGGGAGAAGACTTAAGGCCCCATATTGGGTTATTATTTTGATGGATATATGCATGCATGTAATAGTTTTTCTTCTGATGAAAAACCACAGGAATTAAGATGATGAGCAGAAACATGTGAACTAAGATGTATAGAACATCTGAGAGGCATATAGAAAGCACAATGCCAAAGGCCAGAAAAAAGGGATTTCTCAGTTCTATCCAACCCTAAAGGCAACATTCCATTTGAGCATGTTGAAATTTTGTCAAAATTAAATGTCTAAGTATAAGTTAAGAATCAGTTCTCAAAACAACAATGGTAAACAAATTGCGATGGCATTTTACTAACTTATACAACTTGTTAAATAGAAAATGGATGTGTTACTAATCAATGTGTTTTTGAGCAGATACAGGTTTGCATATGTTTGGTTATGCTTAGGACTATGATGCTTCATTCAAAGACATGAACAACAACCACGATATAATAATTGAAAAATTATATTCATACGAATAATTAGGACTTGAACATGATACATTTCATGATATCTATAATAACTGAAAAATTATATCCATTTCAGTAGTTAGGAATTTAACATGATTCTTTTGGTGTTTAACTTGACTAAGTTCATACTGATTGTCTTTGCTCTTTGTTTACAAAGAAGTTCTTATAGTTGCATCACAAGTCAAGTATAGATATGGTGGAGTAATGAGCAAATTGGCAAACAATGTTGATAGTATAGGTGTAGAAGTAGATATTTCTTATCATTAGAGAACTAAGGAAATTAATACTTGTGTGATATAGGGTTTAGTGAAATGATATTTGAACCTTTTGACTAGAATGCAAAGTTAGACATATGACAATCAATGGAGTGTCGATTTCATCAATCGTGAAATCAGATACGATTATTACTCTCCACTATCTCATCGGTTTACATGATGTAATTTGCACAATAAATATCTTTGGCACACTATGTTCTAGGAAATGTGCACGTGACCAATAAGCACAATAAGATTCTCAATGTTTATCTTATTATTTTCTATATTCTTCTTGAAAGTTATCTTTAAATATCATGTCTCCAAGTATCTCAAACTCAAGAAAGTAAGTTCAA